CGGATGAGTTTTTGTCTTTAATATGGTCTTACTTTTAATTTTGTATTAATTTTTAAATCTTGATTCAGGCAGAAGCCCTGAACATCTGTACCGGGATGGTGATGGTGTTGGCAGTAATAATGTGGTTAAGTTTTTGTCTTTACTATGGTTCCATTTTTTAATTCTGTATTAATTTTTAAATCTTGATTCAGGCGAAAGCCCTGAACATCTGTACCGGGATGGTGGTGGTGTTGGTAGTAATAACGCAGGTAAGTTTTTATTTGTTATGATTTTAATTTTTTAGACTATATTAATTTTCTACTTTTTATTTCAGAAAATTCTAAACAGCAGTACCATGGCAGTAATAATGCGGATAAGCTTTTTTTTGGTTATGTAAGTTTTTTTTTAATTTAATTTAATTTAATTCTCAATTTAGACAAAAGCCACAGACAACTGTATCTGAATTACAGCGATGGTAGTAATGCGGGTAAGTTTTTACTTATTTTTCTTTATTATTTTTTTATACTATATTAACTTTAATTCCTGATTCAGGCAAAAAAAGCCTTGAACAATTGTACCGGATGGCAGAGCTAGTAATAATAGGGGCAACAGCCCTGAACAATCATACTGGGATGGCAGCAGTAGTAATATTGGGGGCAAAAGCTCCGAACAATTGTACCGGGATGGTAGTAGTAATATTGGGGCAAAAGCCCTGAACAATTGTATCAAAGTGGCAGTAATAATAGCAGGGTCGAAAGCCCTGAACAATTGTACCAGGATGGCAATATTAATAATAGAGTTGATAGCCTTGAACAATTGTACTAGGATAATGGTAATGGTAGTAATTCGGGTAAGTCTTCATTTTAATTGTAGATTTTTTTTTTTTTTATTCTTGTATTTCATTGATTTTAATTCTCGATTCAGGCAAAAGCCCTGAACAATTGAATCGGGATTGTGGTGGTAGTAATACGGGTAAGTCTTCATCTTAATTGTGGTTTTTTTTTATTTTGTATTTTATTGATTTTAATTTTCAATTCAGGCAAAAGCCCTGAACAATTGTACCGGGATGGCAGTGGTAGTAATACGGGTAAGTCTTAATCTTAATTGTGGGTCTTTTTTTTTATTTGTATTTCATTAATTTTAATTTTCGATTTAGGCAAAAGCCCTGAACAATTGTATCGGGTTGGCGGTGGTAGTAATATGAGTAAGTCTTAATCTTAATTGTGGGTCTTTTTTTTTTATTTGTATTTCATTGATTTTAATTTTCAATTTAGGCAAAAGCCCTGAACAATTGTACCAGGATGGCGGTGGTAGTAATGCAGGTAAGTCTTCATCTTAATTATGTATTTTATTTTATTTTATTTCTTGTACTTCACTGATTTTAATTTTCGATTCAGGCAAAAGCCCTGAACAATTGTACCA